TTTCTGCAAAGGCTACTGCTACAAAGAGGTCGTACGGGTAGAGTTAAATACTGGCATCATGCCAACGGCGATCGATAGGTAGCTACAAATTAAGCAGCCAGCGTAACATTGCATTTAGAATATCGAATGATGACAGCAACGATTTCTTCTAAACACATTGCTGTTACTATTCCTTCCATAGGCCAGCGATGGGCGTGTCTGAGAACCGGAGGGGCTTCCGAAGCGCCTTTCACGGCTTTTTATGCCACTGACAGTGCGCCGGGGCACTCATCGTCTGCTTGGACACTCCTCCACTCTCTACCCACCGATCTTTACCTTTCATGAACATACAATTTGTCTCGGATTTTGTATTCAAGGCTATCACTTTCACCTTGTACATAGCCAGACGGGCAAAATGATTATTTAGCATTTTAATTTCATCTATCACATTGTGTAAGCACTATCCATGTTATATATGATGGGAGAAAATCCAGGATCTCCAAAAAATACTCGAAAATGAACAAAATTTCTTGAAAATTTTTCAAAAAGAAATTGAAGAACTTTCTAAAAAAATCCCTGCGCCCTGTTAAGATACTATTCTTCCTTCCGTTGATACACTGTCATTTCCACACAATACCACAACCTTTCCCAGCCAAATATACGGCTTGGTAAATCCTCGGCTCTCCTTACTCACTGCCCTTCCGTTCCATTAAAGGAATTCCTGCGGAAAAGGCGTAGCAGTAGAAACGATGCCAGTGACTTTAACCCTTTGACTACTGCTGGTACATGTATGTGTACCACTTCCGTAGTCAAAGGCACTACCACAGTTCTGGGACTTATTGTGATAGGAGCGCCCGCTTGATGGCGGAATTGTGCACGGATGGGAACTTTATGATTCTTACTCTTGTAACAAATCGTCACAAAACAAGGCGAGTTACCCTGGATGAGTTACTAGAGCAAGGTCACGGTCAGGGTGCGCAGCTCCCAGAAGAGTAGTTTTCTGTTTCGCACACTTTTGACACTGAAATGTGCATTTGTAAATGGTAACTGAATTGTCGATTCATATTTCTAAAATATTCATTCGAGCGGAGATGGTGTGGTGACAAGAGGGCCACTACCGCGCGCATGGTCCCTGGATCAAATCCCAGGTCAAACACAGCGTACGTGAGCCAAATTTCTGCAGATGATTAGCTGCTTGCTGGGAGCGTTGGTCTATGCAAAACACACGTATCATCTTCATTGCACAAATTCGTAATTTAAGTCGTAGTTTAAGAGTTAAAGGAAGATGCGAGACAACAGAGTCCCCTGAGGTCGCCGCGCTAGCGAAAGAAGGTCACCGCAAGCGGCGGCTACCGGTTCTAACAAGTTGGAACGTGGCACTTTGCTAGCCTTATACGTGACACACAAAGGGTATACACGACGGAAAAAAAAGTGGTTGTAATCGCACGTTCCTAAGAGAGTGGGTCCTGATTGGACAGTTTGCCATGTTTCAACGCGAAAGCGCCTAGCGACGGTCGCGCGCAGTGACCCAGTTTTAGGGGCCGAGTCGAGGAGGACTCTTGACAATCTACCGTTAAGGACCTTGGTGCAATAATGCCGAATCTATGTATAAGGCGAATTACTGCACCAAATTGCCCCACTTCCACTACTGAGAAGGCGCAGAAATTTTCGCCATTCTCCTAGAATAAATCCCTCCGCACTATTCGCTGTAAGAATGCGCCCAAATGTGGTTTGGGAGGGTCCTTTCCTATTTTAGCCGATGTCAGCTTTGCGAAATCGCGCGATTTCGCTATAACGTCTGCGGTCGCGTCGCGCTGTGATCACTCAGCTGGCTGATGCAACGCGACCAGCGAACGCGTAGCGAGATAACGAGGCGATTTACGCAAAGTCCCCGCGACTCGGTTCTAAGTTGTGTATTTGAAAGAGCTGCTGTCACCAAGCAACATAACAGAAGCAACTACAGCAAAGTATTCCTTTTCTGTTAACCGTGGGATCAAAGGCAGTAGCGCGATAAGCTTATGCTGATGAGAAATGAAAGAAAAAATTCGTATAGTAAGCTTGAAGGAGCAAAAAGAACCGGTCAAAATTCAGAGAAGCGAACCTGTGCAAAACGTAGACGAGTTTGCGTTAACTCAGCGATGTTCAGGTGAAGAACGCTGGACATCATACTAACGTAATATCGATAGACGGTCGCTTCGGCGGCCATTGCAAACATGGTATTATAGAAGAACATCGAAAGATGATGGTAACGGTCTCCTGAAGCACACCGCCTTCAGAATCCCTTCAACCTGCCAAGAGGTGGGCGTGTCTGAGCGTACAGCGGTTCGCGCCGCTAATAGCGCGCCCTGCCTTGAAGTACTACCTATTGCCTACTTGGCCACGCTTCTTCCCTATTCACTACCCATGTTTTCGCTTGGCAGGTATATCTGCTCTTGAAGAAGGTTTCAGAATATCCTCGATTAAACTCACTGCTTCATTTGCGTTCGAAGTCCCTCGGCAGAGACTCTGAAAATGGTGCCGCTTTGAGAATGTACCCTACACGACAAATAAGGTCCAATGTAAGGTTTACCGCTTTATCTTCATAGTTCATAACTCGAATTGGTGTTGACTTCTGATCTACTCACCTTGTGTTGAACGACATTCGAGCAAACTCCATTTCTCCCCGTAAAATACCACCCGGGCGCGACCTCTTCTGTTGTGGAGATGTTGACGTGCCCGGTTGTGCTTCGTCATCATCCTAGAATTCAAACCATTCGAATTCTTGTATTTCACAACGTTAGCATAAATCAAAAACCTGAAGGCAGTGGACCTATTTTGTCAGCGGCCAAAAATGAAGGCTGAATAGCTAAGGGGGGAGGAAGACCAAGAGAAATGACTAATGGTGAAAGAGAGCGGGAAAACTGCTGAAAACCCTTGAAGCCACACTGCACGCCGATCGTATGGGCGAGGTTTGCGACCCCCCCCCCCCACGGAAACCTGTGGGGACCTGGGCGGAAGTGGTGTAGTGGCAAGTGGCACGCTTACCACGCGAGCGGTCCGGGGATCAAATCCTGGGTCGTGAGTCGCCCGGGCCAACCAAGCCTTCCATCCCTCCGGGGTCGGTTAATTGGTACCAGACTTGTCTGGGAGGATAAAAACACTGACTTGTACATCGGCTGGCCCCCGCAAGTCATTGTATAGGCCACATCGCATTCAAACGCCACTACGAATGTACAAATGGAAGTAGAATGCGTGCCGCATCCTTAAAACGGAAGGCAAGGCAACCCTGCGTTGCGCAGTTTCGCCCGATTAGAC